CACGTCTGCAAGCCGCGGCGCCTCTACCTCAGCTTCGCCGACGTCGGCTGGGAGAACTGGATCATTGCCCCCCAGGGCTACCTGGCCAACTATTGCCTGGGCGAGTGCCCCTTCCCCCTGACGGAGGAGCTCAACAGCACCAACCACGCCATTCTGCAAACCATCGTCCACTCGCTGGACCCCGAGGGGACCCCGCAGCCCTGCTGTGTTCCCGTCCGCCTCTCGCCCATCTCCATCCTCTACTACGACAATGATGACAATGTGGTGCTCAGGCATTACGAGGACATGGTGGTGGATGAGTGTGGGTGTAGGTAAAACAGAGGGGGAGTCCCCTCCGGCCTCGGCTGGCCGGGGCACCATGGCTGGGCAGCACCTTTCAATCGGACGTTGCCGGCGCTCGGGTGGAAATGCACAAAGTCTGGAGCCCCCACAGTTGAGCTTTTCTTGACACAACCTCCTTGATATTCCCCGGGGTGGGGTGGGGGAGCTTGCCGGCAAGAAACTCAGCCATAGATAGGGCTGGAATAAAGAGCCGTTGGGTTCCAGATTGGGAATTCCACGAGGGTCAAACCCTGGAATCACCCATTGCTTCAGGCAAATTAAACTTGATTTCTTTTTAAATGAGGTGGTTTCAGTATTTAGAGCCGGGGGGCAAAATGCCTGCATGTGTTTGGTTTTACCAGATTAAACCTGTACGCTTTTAAATACAGCTGGACCCCCATATCTGCAGGGGATTGGTTTCAATCTCTCCATGGATGCCAAATCCCCCAGATAATAGAAAACACTATATATAAACCATGTATAAATAGTAAACTATATATAATTTGCTATTACCTGTGGTGTGTGTGTGTGGTGTGTACACACACACACACACACACACAGGTAATAGCAAACTGTGTGTGTGTGTGTAGTTTGCCATTTATACATAGTTTGTGTATACACACATACACAGTTTGCTATTACCTGTGGTAAGGTAAAGGTTCCCCTTGACAATTTTTGTCCAGTCGTGTTCGACTCTAGGGGGCGGTGCTCATCCCCGTTTCCAAGCCATAGAGCCAGCGTTTGTCCGAAGACAATCTTCCGTGGTCACATGGCTAGTGCGACTTAGACACGGAGCGCTGTTACCTTCCCACCGAGGTGGTCCCTATTTATCTACTCGCATTTTGCGTGCTTTCGAACCGCTAGGTTGGCGGGAGCTGGGACAAGCGACGGGCGCTCACTCCGTCGCGTGGACTCGATCTTACGACTGCTTGATCTTCTGACCCTGCAGCACAGGCTTCTGCGGTTTAGCCCACAGCACCACCACGTCCCCCTACCTGTGGTAGCACACTATATAGTGAACTCTGTGAGGAAAGAAAATGGTGGATACTGATCCCGTGGATACAGGGGTCCTGACTTAACCTAATTTCATTTCCTGGCTAGAAGTTCAGCATCAAGGAGCCTTCCGTTAACAGCCAACAGAATGGGTACTGTTTTTGCAATGTTTTGTGTAAGTTTGGTCCTTTGAGGGAGGCTTGGAAAATTCTCTTCCTTTTAGTTATTAAAACAGAAAAAAGAAAAACCAGTCAACTTCTCCCCCCGCCCCCCAACCTGGAGTTTCTGGTGCTAGGTTCCACTCTTCCTGCTTTTGAAACGACTGTATAGATAACCGGATTGTTTTTAATACAAGCGCTGAGCCAGTCTGGATGTCGGAAAGGTCTTTTCTGGAACAATCCACGCCAGGCTCAGGTAACAACACCCAGTAGGTTGATGGGGAATCCAGGTATGAAACCTCACTCCTCCCAAACCTTTTGGCTTTTCAATCTGGATGGCTTGATTTTCTCTAAGCTAGCTCTGGGAAGACAGGACAGACCACCCCATATCCACGGACATCGGTTTCCGCTGAAAAACGCAGAAATAGGGAACACTATCCCTTGCACGGTCTCTGGCTCTCTGGACCCCCTTATCCACAGAGGATTAGTTCAAAAACCCCTACAGATACTGAAACATGCAGAGCATAGAAAACACTTTGTGCAGATGAGCGAGATACAGTAAAAACATCTTCCCGTGTTATATTCTAACCACTACTAAGAGCATTTGCAGATTAACGCAGCACAACGTACAGGCAACTGTGCGAATGTCAGTTACATAAACACAAACGCCCAGAAAGTGAATGCAAGAGGATCTTTATTCATTTGTTGACAGATTTTTTAAAAAACAAACCAAGACTCAGAAGGGGGGAAAATTCAAAAAAAGAGGGTTTTCTTTCTTTTTTCTTCAACACAGTGCTAGCACTGACGCTTTTCGGTGGGTTTCATAGAGGGAAAAAAAACAAAACAAAGCTCAAGAATCGGATCACGGCTACACAGGCAGGGAAAGCAAGCCAGCACGAAGCAGAGGCGAGCGGTCCTATAACTAGTGAAGTAATGGGGGTGCGGGATGGGGTGGGAGGTATTTGTTGAAGGCGCTACGTTACTCGGAGGAGCGCCGCATCACACCAAAAAGGTTTAAGCACTGAAAAATCAAGCGCAAAAATCTACAGAGCCACGCAGCCTTACCCGAGGTGGTGGTGGGTGGGGGATCTGGGGTGAGTAGGGGGGCGCGCAGGAGTTGAGGAGCAGCAGCCTTGCGCAAACAATGATGGGTCAGTCTGTCAGGCAGGGAAGGTGGCCTGCGTTCCCCGTTGCCCCCTAAACGCACGCGGCCGAGGTCGAAACGCGGGAGGATCTCGTTGTCAAACAAGAACCGCTCTGGAGGGGCTTCGCCCATCCCGAATCAGCAGCCCAAAGCCGGGGGTGTATGGGAAGAGAAGTAATCCAGATGGCAGACCCTTGTGCATTAGGATATGGGCTTTTTTTCTTTGAAAAGGGGGAACAGGTCTTTTTTAAAAAAGGAAAAATTAAGCATGGGTCTTCTTAAGTACATTCAATGTAGTTATCTTGAGTTCCTCAACAGGCACACACAGGCGGGCATGCACATGGAGTGGAATACTCCAAGCCCTTTGATGGGGAGGGGGAACCCGACTTAAATTCGTACACCCTTAAATACCCACCACGAGGCGTCAGGTTAAAACTTCTCAGGGCATCAGAACACCTACGTTGTGTTTTTTTTTCCCCTGGGAGGTGGGGTGGGGGGGGAAACAGTGGGTTTTTTCCCTCTTTTTTTGCTCCCAGTTTTTTGATGCAGATTTTCACAAAATACATTTTGCATTGGAAGGGACCAGAGGTTTTCTGTTCTGTGCACAACCGAGGCACGTTCCCCCCCCCCCGCAAGGCGCTGGTTCCCAGGCAGAACCAAAATGGCAGGCAAAAGAGCGGTCTCACAGGACGGCTGCCCAGCTTGGTCTCCAGCAGCATTTCAGCTTCTTGTGACTTTGCTTGTTCCGAGTTCTTGGCGGTACAGAGTGGCCCCCCTTCTCGGCATGACCCCCCCACATGCTCCAGGCTTAAAACCCATCGTCTCTCCCCGAGGCCACCTTCCAGCAGGCGCCTGCAGTCCTGGCCCCAGGCACCCCGACCCCACCAACCTCCCTGCGATCTTCTACAGAGTCTTTAGTCCAGAACCCAACCCAACTCCCCCATAATCTGCTATTGCGGTCCCCAGTGTTGGCAGGACCTAAGGGACCACGCAGCCTGTCTCCAGGGGCGCCGAGGTCATGGGGCACAGATTGTCTGAACCCCCCCTTTTTTTGAAGCAGATGGCATGTCTTAGGAAGAGGGGGGGGGGAAAGAAAAACTGGCCACGCAGAGCAGAGCAAGACGACAAACTTTTCCAACCCTCTTCCTCACCACCGTTGTTAAATTCTTGTTAAATTCTAGCCTTCCTCGGGAGAAGAGGCTGACACAAATGCCTTCAGGCCAAAAAAAGATCTTTAAAAGGATCGGTGTGCTAATTTAAGTGGTAGACTTTTATATAGATATATATGTGTATATAGACTTTTTTTCTTTACTTTAAGCTTCTTGGAACAAGGAATTCCTTCCCCCCACCCGCCCCTGCCAGTCCACTACTAAGGTTTCAGAGACAAAACTTCTAAAAAAATATCCAGTTCTTCCACGAAAGACTCTTCTTTTTTTGAAAAAAAAAAAGGGGGGGGGAGAAGGAACCACTCCGTCTTGTCGCCTGAAAGCCCCTTCGGGACGTGGCCAATACCGTGCGCGCAAGGTTTCAAAGCTGGGTTGTTATCTTTCCGCCCCCCAGACAGCAAAAACGTGCATCTCAGAGTTGGGCACCAGGCGGCCAGTCCCTCCCGGGAGCTCAGAGGATGTGCTTCGGGGATGATGGGCTTTGCCCCTAAAACCTGCCAACAGCTGCTTTTTCCTTAAAAAAAGAAAAAGGAAAAGGAAAAGAAAAAAAGAGGAAAAGAAAAGCGAAACAAAAAACCCACAAAGATAGATCCAGGAACAACTCTGAGATGGGTTTTTTTTCCTCCTTCCTCTCCCTGCGCTGCTCGCAACAAGAAGAACAGAATGAAGTGAAGCTTTGCTTCGAAGGCCCTTCCTGTTCGTTCGTTCTTTCGCTCTCTTCTTTTGGTGTGTTCATTGACGGCGGGAGGGGGGGACGGGGAACGCCGCTGACCGCTCCGTTCTTCCAGGAGAGATGGGCTCCCCCCTCAGCGAGGCGCCAGTCGGTCCTTTAGGGCTCTCTTCCCATCTCCGCCACCATCTCCTCGTCTCAGGGAGCTAGCAGTGGGCTCTCTCTCTCTTCCTTTCGCTCTCACGGTCGGTCTCTCTCTCACAATCTCTTCCTTTCGCTTCTCACGGTCTCTCCTCTTCCTCCTCTCCGTTGGTGTCTCTCGCTTCCTCTACCTTTCTCTCCTGTTGCTCTCACAGAGTTGCTTCAGTTTTAGCAGTGGAAAACAGGTATCCATTTTATTTTATTTTTATTACCCAGAATAAAATGCGGTTGAACTAAGCGCCACGCAAGCTTAGCTCTTCTCCTTCAACCTGCGGGAAACAGAGGAAGAGGAGGTTGTTAGAACCGGCCAGAGGCAGGAGCAACCCGATTTTTCTTCTAATATTTTTAGTATTTCGATTGCGGATAAGTGACTCAGCAGATACTGGTCCTGTGGATAACAAGGTCGTAAAATAGAGCCTCTGAAATGACGGACCAGTGTCCAGGCCAAGGCACCTGCATCTCTCCGAAAGAATTCCAACCCAATGCTGGATTCCTCGGCATCAGCTGGGTCCAGCAGAGACTGAAAAGGAGACCATCAGCCGGACACGAGAGCTGGCCAACGCAGCCCAAAGAAAGGGCTGCTTGTGGGACCCCCGCCCCTGCTGTCTCCCTGCCCCCCGACCACCTTACGCTCTAATACTGTGACAGCCCGGTCACTCCGTGTTGATAGGCGCGCTCCCCCTGGTACGTCGAATCCTGCGACAGGGCCACATCGATCTGAGATTTAAACTCATCGCCAAGGTAACTGTCCTATGCGGAGGAAGGAGAAACAGAGGGGTGGGACTAGCTTCTCCTAGAGCTGCTAAAGGCAGGGCACTCTTTTCATCTAAGAGAGCCTGGCAGACCTCGGGAGGTGGTGATGAGCACTCCCCAAGCATTTTCACAGCTGGGATGGCCCTCCCAGGGTGGGAAATTGGGTCCTTGGTCTCTCTGGCGTCAGCTGCCTGTCGTCCAGAACACCTTGCCCCCACGGCACGCCCAAACCCTTTGGGAGGTGGCGGCCCTCGTTCGTTACCTGGGACAGTTCTGGCTGAGAGAGGCCCGGCTGGCTCATCTGAGAGGGCTGGCTCATGGAGATGTAGCCCTGGGTCAAGGGTCCCTGAGAGAAAGGCTGCGAGACCACGTCTTGACTGGCTTGGCTGTTGGGCAGGTTGGACTGGCTGGCCCCCGGCAGGCCAAAGCGGTTCTTCTGGCGTCCCCCGCGGCCGGCCTTGCCTTTCAGGTTGCCGCGTCCTGCAATGAACAACCGGGCTTCTGGGAAACTTGGGAAGGGCACGCCAAGAGCCCACGCTGGAGGCTGCCAGGCAGAAGCACAGCGCTCCCTCTGAGGGAGCAAGCTCCGAAAGAAAAGGCCCGAGCCTTAAAACTGCCCCCCAAAGGGTTCCCGGAGCAGACTTCGCAGGCATCCCTACCGGCAGCGGGTCCGTTGGCCTGCCCAAAATATCCCGGGGGCGGCATGGGTGGCATCACCAGGTTGAACGGGATGGGAATGTTCATGGCGGCGACGTGGCTGGGCCCGGCGCTGATCATCCCGATCTGATCGTGCGTTTGGAAATACATGTTGGAAGGCCGGCCTGAGAAAGAGTGGGACACTCAGAGGGGTTTGTGGCGTCGAGACAAGAGGAGCCAGAGAGAGGATGATTTCAGCTAGCCTTTCAGCCTCTCCCACCCTGTGTTCAACCTCAGGATCTGTGCGAAGCCACTTTTCCCACCCTAAAGCAAGCCAGAGGGATGAAAGCAGCAAAATTTCCTTCCAGGCCCACCCGAAGGAGACAGGGGCTTTTTCTCTGTCACAATGTACTTCGTTTTCAGTGTCTCAGGGCAGTGAGAGCGCCGCCCGATTGCTGACTTGCAACATGCAGAGAAACACCACCTACAAAGGGCTAATGACTTATGACTCTCTCTTACCTTGGCTGCTGCGGTCATACACGGATCCAGGGATGATGGCTTCGCGAGCATCGTACATGGCAGTTGTCATGAACCGGGCTCCCTAAGACAGCGGAGACGGTGGATCGAAAACAGAGAGGATGTTACGGCCACTTAGGATGATCACACGCTGCATCTGGCTCTTGCTCCCGTCAGAAAACACCCGCAGAGAAGGCATCCCATATCCACAGGGATGGTTTCCAAGCCTCTCCCCCCCTACACCCCCAGAAGGCTGAAAAACGTCCTAAGTCCTTACGGGATTGATGGTATTGACCAGCTTGCGGGGTTTGCTGAACTGCATGAGGCTCTCCCGGAGGTTGTTCAGCGGCCCTTCCACCAACACCTTCTGCTCCTTGTAGTAGTTCAGCAGGTGGTTCCAGAGGGGCTGCTTGGAGAGGGCCTTTGGGTTTCCGACGATAATGACCCCATACCTGAAGAGGTGGAGGAGAAACGTGACAAGCGGGACCGCACTGGGGGCCGGACGGCCCCAGCTCCCTCCCTGCTGCCGGCGCTATTCGATGGACCTACAGCTCTCAACCTGACCATGCATCTGGTCTTGTGTTCCTCATTTAACGCTATAATGGACATGATCGCCCACCATCCCTCATTTAGACGTTCAGTGGGCGATGCCTGGAGAAAAGGGGCCTTTCCACACCGACGGCCCCAAACACGTAAAACCATCGAAGCCAAGAGAATGGCATTTTTCTCTGTGGGAACACCAGCCCTGAGCAAGGTCATTAGGGAAGGCCTCCCTGAAAAGCGGGGCCTGAGGCTGCCTTCTGAACCTTAGCGAGGAGGGGGAGCAGGGAGAGGAAGCTGCAGTGGCCACTGGTTCCACACACTCGGTGCCAGCGTGAAGATGGGCGGGCGCCTTGTAGAGGACTTCTGGGCCTCCCTCGGTGCAGCCAGCCAGAGAGGCCTAGCCTGGGAGGATCTGGTGGGTCAGGCAGAGGACACTGGGGAGACACGCTCCGACAAGAGAGCACGGTCCCAAACTGTGAAGGGCTCTGTATGGGAGAATCAAAACCTTGAACCTGATCCGGGAGGCAACGGATCAGCCCGCCTGCGAATACAAACCGAATGTCTCAGGTGCTGCAGAAAACAGTAAACGCCTTTATTTAACGCACCACTTGCAGACAGAGACACAAAAGCATCCTATCAAAAAGGGAACGGTTCAGCTATTGGTAGCTTAAATTAAAGCTGGGAGCCACTGAGGAACCCTGTGCTTTAATTTCCTCTACCTAAATACAAAAATCAGAAGTGGGGGGTTGTGACCTCTCCCCCCCATGCCCGCCCACTACAGCCCTCCTCCCAGGAATCCAGACCCAAAGAGTCTGTGGGGCCCACAGGCAGCCGGGACCTGGCCTGTACCTGGCTCTGGTGAGAGCGACGTTCAGCCGCCGGGGATCATTCAGAAAGCCAATCCCTTGGTGTTCGTTGGCCCTGACGCACGACAGGATAATAAAGTCCTTCTCTCGTCCCTGGAAAGCATCAACGCTGGCAATTTCCACTTCCTGAAAGGATTGGGGGCGGGAGGGAAAAGAGAACAGAGTCCTCCCAATTTAAGTCCTGGTTTGCTTACCTCCAGGTTTATTTATTGGCTTATCATTCCTTTGTTCTATTTATAGGCTGCCTTTCTCCCGATAAGGGGACCCAAGGTGGCTCATAATGTTAAAAAGAGTAGAACTAAAAGCTTAAGTTAAGCATTAAGAAAAGAATTAAAACTATGCACAAATTAAAATACAATGGAACAATTGAAAGCAAGGAAATGTTAAAACTACCTTAATGTTACAAACATTTGTCTTTCTAAAAGAGGTCTATTTTCACCACCGGCTTTAGAAGTGAAGGTTCAAGAGAGACCCTGTTAATTTATTTGTTTAGGATCACATTCTACCCCATAGTTTGTAACACATCAACTGCCAAGGCTGGTACATTTCCTGTAGGAAAGCTGCAGGGTACCCAGAAAGCAGGCAGGTGGATGCTGACCTGATACAGCTTGGTATGCAGAGAGCCACTGAACTGCATATACTGCACCAGATAGGAGCGCTGGCCCTCATAGGGGGTGATGATCCCAATCTGATCTGGTTTCGCTCCAGCCTTCAGCAGCTTGGTGGTAATCTTCTCCACGTTGGCTGCTTCTGTTCTGTAGGGCAAAAGAGAGGGCAAGGGCAGGGGCAGAGAGTAATCAGCCTCCCGCTTTGCCAAGGCACACACCAATGGAACCAGGCATGACACGACCTCGATATTTACAAAAAACCCAAATTTGCTCACACAGGGATCGCTAAGTGGCTGCCAGACCCGAGACCCAGCGACACTGTTCTGGAGAAACTGACTGCATCCAACACTTATTTATCTACTTTGAAGCCAGCCCATGATGGAGACTCCTCAGTTGCCTGTTACGTACTTCCTCGGAGGGAGGCGTCACCCTTCCCAGGCAGCCATTTACCTGTTCAGGTAAGAGGTGCCTGAGCTTGCAATCTCTTCTTGGCCTTGGGTCACGTAGAAAAACATGGGCTTATCCGGCTGGGGCCACTGGAAGTCAAAGCCTTTCTTCACACGGTCCGCTGCAGAGGAAAACACATGGCCAGCTGGGTCACCGCCAGGATCCTTGGCCTCTACGGGCCAACCCCACCTTATGAGGACAGGGGCTTCACATCTGGAGGAGCCACCGTGGCAGGACGGGAGGCAAGCCAGCCCCGTATCTCCCCGGGGAGATATGCCCGCCTCCCGTGAGGAAGCAGTCAGCCCCTCCCCTCCCTCCGGCCCCTCTTTCTCTCTTTACCTGCAGTGACGCCGTTCTGGAGAGACCCCTCGTAGAAGATGTTGGAGGGGAAAGCGCTCAGGGCGGGATGCATGCGGTACTGCACTTGCAGGCGGATGGGACGGATGCCCAGCACCACCAGCCGCTCAAAGAGAGACTGCGAGAGGCCCGCTTTGGCCGCCTTCTTGCACATCACGACGGGGCCCAGCTGGCAGTGGTCCCCCACCAGGATCAGCTGGGAAGGCAGAGAGCGTGCCCATCAACAGGAGGCTCTGCGAGGCCCGTGTGCCACCTCCATGACCTTTCACAGCTCCCCGTTTCAACATGCTGCCTTACCTGCTTGGCTCCAAGGACGACCGGGACCATGCACTCCGGCTCAGTGGCCTGGGTGCTCTCGTCGATCAAGATGGAGCGGAACTGCATCTTCGCCAGCCTCGGATCCCCGGCCCCCACGCAGGTACAGCAGATGACATCCGCATTCTGAGCGAGAGAAAGCGGACGCGTTGAAGGCGCACGGCTCAGCAGCACAGGATCTCTGACCCTTCCCATCCCTCCCCACAAGACAGACCCACCCACAGCCAGCTGTGGTAGTGCGTGCATACAGCTGTCTTTTCCTGGCCTTATTTAGGACTGAAGCGTCTTTGTGGCTGATTTAACCCCAGGGTCTCTACCTGCTGAGATCAGCCTTATCCAAGGTAAGAACAAAGTCAGAGTAAAAGAAGCATTTTTTTTTTACCATCAGCAGTTCCCGCTCAGCTGTCCGTTTCAGAGCCCGGTAGCGCTTTTCGTCTGCTGACGACAGTTCCCCGGTCTCATCTTTCAGTTGCTGCAGCTTCTGCAGCTCAGGCATGCTATGAACCCAAAGGTATACCCCATGACAGAAAATTCTGATTACCCAAGGCACAAGAAAAATTCTCCTTTCAATTAGTTACAGAACAGGACCCCCTTATCCGTGGGAATCAGTTCCAGCTCCCACCCCACCCCAAATTCCAAAAACCGTGGGTTATAGCGAATGGTATACACAGCGTGACCTCTGGCTCTCCCTAGTAACCAATTCTGGCAACTTCATTGCTAGAAGTCTATTTTCTAGGATTTTCCTTTTAATATTTTCAGGCGGTGGACTTCAAAAGTAGACTAGTTTCCAGGACCACCTGAGGCGGCTCCTTACCTGTCCATGTTCCTGATCTGGTTGTGGAGCGCCAGAAAGGAGACGGGAGAGTCGATGGCCTCGCGGCTCTTCGCACACAGCCGCACCACCTTCAGGCCCGTCTGGTGAATCTTCTCGGTCAGCTGGTCCACCGCGATGTTACTCGGGGCACAAACGAGGACCGGCCTTGAAAAGGGAGTTATTTTATTTTAAAAAGAGGTAGAACCAAATCCCAGTACGCGTGGTAAATTAAAAGCAAACCAGGCATGCTGCACCACAGCTTCCCCCTTCCCTCCTTCTGGACTGGGCTCGGAGGTTATAACAATAATAATTTTAGAACTACAGAGCAAGTCCAGCTCTTGAGGCGCAAGCAGGAATTGAGCTCCAAACCTCTGGCTCCGCAGCCAGAGACCTAAAGCCCTGAGCTATCTGACAGCAGCCGAAGCAACGGCTGAGAGGGGCTCCGAACCCTGGGTAAGGATACCACAGGCAGCAGCACCCAAGCACATGGTTAATGGTATCGTGAGGAATGTTATGCCTGAGAAGAAATGGAAAGCCTGTTCCATCATTAGAACTCAATTACAGGCTTTGGATGCGCTTTCTAGAAAAACTGGCCTCCGAGGAATCTCACAGCCCATGAAACACGGCACCTTTCCCACCCAGAAGGCTCAGCGCTCCCGTCGGTAGCTCTTACCCGTTCCCTTGTCTCGCCAGGTGGTACACAATGGTGGCCGAGGTCACTGTCTTGCCAGTCCCGGGCGGCCCCTGGATGAGGCTCAAAGGGCGCTGCAGGACGGTCTTCACGGCGTACACCTGAGAAGGGGGAGGAGGGTGTGACTCCAACCCTGGCGGGCGGGCAGGTGCCCCAACGGAGCCCTAAAGCTCTTGTCGTTTCCAACTCTGGGACAAGGCCACGTTACCTGAGAATGGTTGAGGTCGGGAAGCCCTTGGGCCGTGAAGCGCTTGGGCAGCTGACATTTGATGATCACATCCTCCACCTCGTGACCCAGAAGCTTGTGGTAGATGTAGCCAGAGACAGAGGTTTCATCCACCGCAAATGTTTTCAGGGCGCTCTGCATTCTGGGGGCGGAAAAACAAGGGCATGGGTAGGCCGTGGCGTTTGGTCCTATCGCCCTGCGCAGAATGTTTTTGCTGCGTATTCCTCAAAGTTACAGCTGCCTTCCCGGATCGAGGCTTCACCCACCTGTCGAAAGAGGTCGACTTCCAGACAAAGTCCACTTGGAAGTTGTGGGTGACCTCCACGGGGGCCCCGACGCTGCTCCTCAACTCGATGGCAATTTCATCGCCGTAATCTTCACAGTCTCATTAAGTGGGAATTTCCATGAACACTTGCAATGGGTCTTTTAAAAGAGGCCCCCTCTCTCTACACACATACACCCCAGTGATACCTTTTCCAGAAAAGCTGATATCACTGTTTCTACAGCTGAAACTACAACAGCCCATGCAGGAAGATAGAAAGCAGCCAGGGGGTTAAAAGGAAGCTGCGCTGATCTCCTTGGAGGAAGAAAGATAGCGCGCAAGACACCTGCACACCCCTGTTTTTTGCATTCAGGGGAGGGGGGCAGGGAGCATGGAATCGATCCCCTGCGGATACCAGAAAAGCTGATATCACTGTTTCTACAGCTGAAACTACAACAGCCCATGCAGGAAGATAGAAAGCAGCCAGGGGGTTAAAAGGAAGCTGCGCTGATCTCCTTGGAGGAAGAAAGATAGCGCGCAAGACACCTGCACACCCCTGTTTTTTGCATTCAGGGGAGGGGGGCAGGGAGCATGGAATCGATCCCCTGCGGATACTGGGGTGGGGGGGTCATACTGTACCTGAAGTTGACCTTTCAAGGATTCTGCCAGGGACTAAACCCACCCTGTAAAGGCCCCTGCGGATACGGGGGTGGGGGGGGTCATACTGTACCTGAAGTTGACCTTTCAAGGATTCTGCCAGGGACTAAACCCACCCTGTAAAGGAGTCTTCAAGGCAAGTTTTGCTGACCCTCTGATGCCCTCAAAAGGATACTATCAGGAACTTTAATGACGTGGCCGATTCCTTTCCACAGAGGGGCCAAATCCCCCTTGTACCTGAGACAGATCTCATCTCCCTGCATCAGACGCATATCTGTGGAGACACCAAGACACTTTTCAGTGACTCTGAAGCCGAAACGGGGGTCCGTCCTGTGTTAAACCGCAATAATACACTGAACGCCCACCAAGCAGTTCAAAGAGAGGCAACTATTCCGGTTCTCACCTGAATCAGTCTTGGGCAGCGTAAAGTAGGCAATCCGCTTCTTGTTCAGGCCAAGGTCCCATCTCACAGTGATGTTGTCTTGGGTCTAGGCGTGAGGACAGAGAGTCTCACTTTAGAGGTGGGCAGAGTGCAAGCGGCTGCTCAGAAGAGCTGGCTCACGGCCGGGCCCCTCAGAAGCAGCCTTGTGAAGGCACTCTGGCGGTAGGCCAGAGCCGCACACGGGGGTCAGCAGCTGGCAGAAATTCCAGAAGAAGGGACGACCGATGGCTTGGCTAACAAGAGAGGGCTGGCCTGTTTAGGGGGCAGCAAAAGGCCTCCTTTCCCTAGCGAAGAGCTGAGAATCTCTCCTAAGGCAACCCTTCCCTACTCCTCTGCCACAGAAGACCAGAGACTCTGAACTGGTTGCTTGTGGGGGGCCTTTATGACCCAACGGAGGGCCCTAGAGCTGCACCTTCCCCCATCTATATGGGACTCTTTTCTCTCTCCACCTCCCTCCCCTAAATAACTTGACCGCAACAGTTCCAGGTAACACTGCCATGGCCTCAGAAGCCCCTTGGTTAAGACACCGAAGGAAGAGTCCATACCAGCCTGCAGGGCCCGTACGCTCAGTTACAACCTAGGCCAACCGTTTTCCAAACCTGAGTCATTGGTGGTGGCGGAGATATTAGAAATGTGTTTGAACCCTTTCCCCAAGGCTGCCATTGTCTTGGAGAAATAAGTCAGACAAGCCATTAAAATAAAACCAAGTGAACAAATCAAGCAAAAATGGGAGGAATCCGGAACAGGCAAACAGGCCGAAGGATATGGACTCAAGGAAGGACGAAACGGTCAGTTTCCGACCATCTTCCATGGTGGAAGAAACACATCCGGGGCCCACAGCACACTCTAGCCGAAGCCAGGATTCAACGCGTCTTAGCTCCTGATCCCCTGGGCCAGGAGGGCCCCCGAATGGCACAGGCCATCTCCAAACATGTTGCCAAAGAAGGCGCTCATCGCCTGGGAGAGGTTACACCTCACCTGAGACTCCTTCAGTTTCTTGTCATAGTCGGCCTCCAGCTTGACCAAAGGCCCGAAGATATTCTGGTACTGATAAGCATCTTCGTATCTCAGCAGGACGTGCTGCGGCTCCTCGTCGACGCCGGGCTTCTCCAAGTCCTCTAGGGTGGCCGATGGATTCTCCTACAAGTAACAAAAGGGGGGGGGAGACAGAGCGCTCTGGACGGGTGTACAAACCGTCCCCATCATTGGCATTCCCTTCCCTTGAGGGAGACAACAGAACCGCCCCCCCCTCCGGACTTGAGTGATCACAGAGAGGTGAGATCAGGCAGGCTCTAGATTTCAATTCTCATGTTGTCTTTGCAAAGCCGCCCCCCCAGGCGGCAGTGTACTGTATTTTTCGCTCTATAAGATGCACTTGCCCCCCCAAAGTGGGGGGGGGAATCTGTGTGTCTTATGGAGCAAAGCTGGCAATTTTGCCCCCACTGGCCCCGTGGGGGTGGGGGTGGAGCCTCCCAAGGGTCCGAGTCTGCCTTCCAGGGTGGCCGATGGATTCTCCTACAAGTAACAAAAGGGGGGGGGAGACAGAGCGCTCTGGACGGGTGTACAAACCGTCCCCATCATTGGGTTTCCCTTCCCTTGAGGGAGACAACAGAACCGCCCCCCCCTCCGGACTTGAGTGATCACAGAGAGGTGAGATCAGGCAGGCTGTAGATTCCGATTCTCACTTTGTCTTCGCAAAACTGCCCGCCCCCCAGGCGGCAGGGTACTGTATTTTTCGCTCTATAAGATGCACTTGCCCCCCCAAAAGTGGGGGGGAATCTGTGTGTCTTATGGAGCGAAGCTGGCGATTTTGCCCCCACTGGCCCCAGGGTGAGGGTGGGGGAAGCCTCCAAAGGGGAGGCACTCTCAGACCCTTTGTAGACTTCCCTCACCTCCACTGGCCCAGCAGGCCGGAATTCCCAGATTATTTTTTTCCTGTTTTCTTCTAAAAATTTGGTGAGCCTTATGGAGAGATGTGTGTTATGGAGCAAAAAATATGGTAGTTTAGAGAACATCTCTCATCCAAGGATGGGGACCCCATCCCCACTGTGGGGATTCAAATCCCAGTGTCCCGGATCCAAGTGCATGGCACTGCCTCTCACTGTATGGAAGTCTATTTCGGGAACTGGGATTCTGGGGAGCACAAAACTAGGGCCCAGTACCACACACGGATACAGTTCTGCACATATATCCCTCTACAAAAGTATCTAAGTTATGATCTTCAACAACGGCCTCTCTCTCTCTCTCTGCCCCACACACAGGTGGGAGAAGGCCACAAGAGAGGGAGGACCCACACAGTGGCAGCTCTCTGCTATCCTTCGATCAACCGGGGGGAGGGGGGAGAAAAAAACCTTTTTATGAAGAAGGGATTCTGCACTAAGAGGCTGCTGAAGAAGGGGTTTTGATCAAATTCCTTTTCATGTTTTAATTAAAGAATTTATTCTATCTTCAAGACTGTGTTTTGGGTCGCCTTGGGTCACACCCTGCAAGAAAGGTGTGATCGTAAACCAATTAACAAGGAAGGGAACTCTGTTCCTCCTTCTTCTGGAAGCCTTTGGTGCCTCCTTCGCCAGCTGTGGCTCCCAATGTTCTCCACCTACCTTCCAGAGTTCTTCCAGCTTGTTAATCTGCTGAGCCGTGATCTGCCGGGCTCTCAGCTGCTCCTGCTCGGAGGGGATCTTGACCAGCCAGGAAAGGAAGCAGCGGTCCTGGATTAAAGGCTGCCACTGGGAGCTGTCCCAGTTGATGTCTTTCAGACTGCTCTGGCTGGCACATGGCTGCCTGCACAGCCAAGATATGGGAGGAGAATCACATTAGACAAGAAAAGGCAAGGGGAGGCTTTAAAAAAAAGAAAACTGAAAGTGAGGATTTGCGGCTCAAGAGGAGCGGCCTGCCTGGTCCCTTTCAAACAAGGAGATTCTCTCACCTGCACAGCAAGACCACCACAGAGTCAGCCTTGGCTGGGATGAAGCCCAACAGGAACACATTTCGGCAACCACAGTTGTAACACTCCAGGACGGTCTCGCCAAGAGGGCCGTCCTTATGAAGAGTCACTTCCTTGCACTTGGCTCTCACGAGATGGTTCACAATGTGGCTAGAATAAAAGAATCACTGTGGTAAAGCGGTGGGGCCTAGTTTCCTTTCGAGCCCGAAAGCCAAAGGGAACCATCATGATTTTTTAAACGCAGCCTATGTGTCTTATATTACGTATGTGTTTATTACATTTATAGCCTACCTTGACTCCAGGGAGTCAAGATGGCCTACTTGGCCCCCCTTGTCCACTTTTATTCTAACAACGTCTAAAGTTGGAAGGCGCAGATTCAAATCTGCCACGATACACCTTGTGCATAACAGTGCAGCCGTGTCAGCTAGGTAGTTGGTATAATATTGGGGTCATCCCGCTTCCATCAGCACCCAGAGGTCATTTTTCACACCAGCTTCAAAGTGCTGAGCTCAACCTGTCAGGAGGACCTAAAAGGTTTCAGGCCAGCTTACCACTCAAGTCTCAAGGTGTCTCTTTGTAGCTTTTGGCTGTGCTATTATTGCTTCACGCCCCCACAGAGGCAGATAAACGGACTGATGGGCAAAAGGAGGTGGCCTTGTTTGCTATGGCCCCCACACTGTACAGAGCTAGTCAGGTGGAGATCCTAGTGACCTCCACACCAGAAGGCTTTAAAAACAGACATGAAGATGGAAGTGCCTTTTTCCACTATTGTTTGTTTATTTTACTTCTGCTGATACACTGTCTCTCACATTGTGTATTTTGCCTGCTGTTGTTTACAACGAGGCTGTACATTTGGAGAAGGAAGCAGCCTTATGAGAACTAGGCCCAGTCGGTGGTTTATAAGCAACTTCATTCCTTCCTTGTGGTTCAACTGTAACTGATGAAAGAATGCTTAACAAAGAATCAGGGCAGCTTTGATTTAAATCACAATTTAAATTTTAAAAGTCAGGGGTTTTTTTTGACAATTTTTAAAAAAACATTTCTTAATTTAAATAGGATTTTTAAAAAACACTGATTTTTATCCAGCCTGGGGAAAAATGAATCTATACAGGCATATAAGAGAGGCTCACCATGGAGATCAGTGTGTCCTCCAGATGTTCTGGACCACAACTCCAGAATTCTCCAGCCAGAAGATGTGCGCTGAGGAATTCTGAAGGTCATAGTTCCAGGCATTTGGCGGATACCCGCTTGGGAAAGACAGCGGAGGCTACAGCTGCTGCTTCCTACCTGCCGGATGTATTCCCACGCCCGTTACAGAACCACTTCTTGCTGGTGTTACAGTAGACCACACAGGCCGGGTCATGGATGCCGCAATAGCTAAGGAGAAAACCAAAAAGAACAACATCATACACTGGTTACGTGGCAAGAACACAGCAAGCAAGAATTTGTTCCTCTGGCCTTCTCTGGCAAAAAGCAAACTGACACAGAACTCTGGGGCGCCTTTGTGCATGGAGTTTCTCTGCACTGCTGGGTGTCGCCAGGAGGAAAAGCCCCAGCTCTGCCGTGTGCCGCTACCACAAAAGCTGCAGCTCAAGCCCTGTCTTTGCACCTCAAGATAAACACTGCAGAGCCAAGGGATGTTCAAGGAATCAGCACGACTGGGCGGAAGACAGCCTGCCCAGTTGTGCAGGCTGCGGACAACTAGGAGGGAAAGCCAGGTGGGGACGATGGGTTATAATGCAAAAAAAAAAAAGAAAAATCTGGGCGGCAACAGGTTGCAAAATGCTAGTGCTAGACACGGGCAACAGACGCCAGCGGAAAAAAAGACACATGAGATGAAGACGTGGCCCTGCGGTCAGTGGCAGCCGCTCTGCTGTGGACGGGAGCCTGTGTCCAGCTCTCGCCGTGACAGACTCCTTACGCCTTACCTGCAGGCATGTACAGGAAGGTCCTTGGTGTAGTAAGTGTCTTCCTCGTCTTCCTCGAAATTGAGCTCTGCAAGAAGCTGGCTGGTCTTCGGCACGCCATCATCCACGGCCCCATTCTGAAGGATGCCATCTGGCCCATTCACCTGGAGTCCAACAAGACTTTCAGTGACACCTTCCAGATTCCCACGAGGGAGACAGTTTCAACGCACAGCGCACCGGGCCAACTCCTCCACTCCATCTGGCTGATAACCGCCACAGAAACCACCAGGATGGAAAGACGGAAGGAGCAGAAACGTTGTCAGGCAGGTGTTGTCCTCCTGGTGCTCCTGCTGCTGTGCCAGCCCTATCTTTCTTAATGTAGATCAAAAACAGTAACCTTATACAATAGGACCCCTTTATCTGTGGGACTGGTATCCGCTAGTTCGCTTATCCACAGTCTGAAAATCTCAAAAAGGAAAACCTAGAAATATATATGTCTAAAGATGACGTTACCACAGAGACCCTGCTATGTACAGCATTTGCTATTAAAATAGCATTCATTATTATCCTCATTTTCCAGCATCCTGGGGGGGGGGAGCTTGGAACCTATCCCCCATGGATACAGGGTCCTACGGTATGTTATTCACATACAATTTTATGAGATTGGTCACCTGGGGACAATGCTAAAGTATCACATGCAAGGAGTTATTTACAAGCAAATACAGAGCGCCTTTGATTCATAACTCCAATGACTGATGCATGACTTCATAAGTACACTTCCATCCCATCTTCTAAGCAGCAGCAAGTACCCACTGCAATAAAGGCTTATTTCCCTTCATGAGCCATTCTGCAGTGGGTTGTCATTTTCTGCCTCCCACCAGTCAACACAGGCTTTCCTCCTTCATTTAGAATTATTTATGGACCCTCGTTGTAAAGCCCTGTCAAGACAGCATTCGATACACACGCATGACAAAAATAAATGCAACAAATACTCAATTTCTGGCAAAAATAGTAGTTTACGACCTCTCTGGTGCCTGAGCAAAAACAGGCCAGCAAAAAGCAGGGCCTTCAAAGATTAAGACCCACAAGAAGGCTAATGATTTGAAGAGGGAAGCAGAGTCTAGCTATGTGGGCCTCGTATTTAAAAGACACTTCTTTCCTAAAAGGAATTTTAAATCACACCTCTTCTCAGTGTTCAGTCTCATGATTTAATAGCCAGATTACAAAATACTCCCTATTCCTCAAAACATCTTCATGTAGCAACAATGCAGGGTCTTTCCATACCTAATAGGATCAAAACTTCCTTCCCTTATTTCTACTGTCCCTGATTCAGCACAGGCGCAAAGGCTTCCTTAAGCACTAGGCTGCCAGAGCACTCTTAAGAACCCAGGCAGCTGTCAGACAAGCCCACTCCTTTGTAAAAGTGGAGCCTTTTCACCTGCTAAACCAGCAGGACAACTTTTCCCCCTGTTTAGCCAACACCCATCCCTAGCGAGTCATTTTAAAGAAAATGCAAGCACGGGGCCGAAAGGCCAGCACCACTGACTCACTGCTCCACAAGCTGAGACAGACAAGCAAATGCTTCATAAGGTACCTACTGGGCTGCTTATTTCTTCCACCTTGACTCCTGGATAAGCGTGAAGTTCTTTGAGTCCTCAGAAGGGGAGGATCCACCCAAGCCTTTCCTTCCTCTTAACTCTCTCTCTCTCTCTCTGTGTGTAGCCTTTCCTTCCTCTTAACTCTCTCCCTGTGTGTGTGTTTGAGTGCCAGGAGGGCCTTCACGAGGACAACAGTGAGAAGATACCACAAAATACGGCATACTTGAATCACTGCTTTACATCCAGAATAAAGATTCCTGGAACAACTTAAAAACAAACTACTTATGATCGCAGTCAATCACGTACTTGACATGCATGAAGTGTTATTTCTAGTTACAGATGTTGTATGGACTCTCACTCCCTCACAGGGAGGAAAACTCATCATCCTTATCTTAGAACGGCAGAGCTGGAAGGGACCCTCTGGGTCATCCAGTCCAGCCCCTGTCAAGGAGGCTCGGGGAGGGGATTCGAACTCCCAACTTCTGGCTTTGAAGTCAGAAACCTCAACCACTGAGCTGTCCAGCAGTTCTGTAAACAGCAAGTCAAAAGGAAATGTAACGCTGAAAGTACTGTGACAATTATATTAACAGAAGCCAGTCACAACACAATTTCTGGCTGCTAACGAGACATCTTGGCATCGGGGCAGTAATTATCACATGTGAGACAGAAAGCCTGTATTCCGATTCAAGTCACAGGGGACAAGAGTGGAGTGCCTTAATGAACGGCAGCCTCAGAAGCAATATTGATACCATAGTTAGAGAGGCTAACAAAGGAAGAGCTGTGCGGCTCCAAAAACAAGCCGGACTGGATGCTGTGAATCAACCCTCCGACAGGCCCCTATCCTCAGATCCTACCGAAGGACACCAGCAGGAATGAAGTGATCTCAGGGACAAAGTTGCTCTAGGTGTGCGGGACGGAATCTGCACCCAAAACTTGTTATCCCAACCCCAGACCTGTAAAAGGTCCCGATTTGGCTCATTAACAGTACAAGAAATAGCTGCGTCTAAAATGCCATTCCTTCGTAATACTGAGTTCTGTAGCTGCATGATAAATCCTTAGTAGAAGAAAATCCACAATATCTATTGCCTTATTTCTAATGTTCAGCTCAGAGAGCATTCTGTTCTGGAAAAGCAGCCCTTAACATGGGAGTTTGATAGAGAATCATCATTCCCTTTCGTGAGAATGAAATGGGTTCCCTGGCATCAGCTCATGCAGGCAGAGCTGCCCCCCAGCTGAATTTGTTTTTATCTTTCTCTGCAGTCTAGCCATGATTAAAACATGGATCAGGATGTGTGAGACTAGGGTTCAAATCCCCCCTCACCACCCATGAAGCTCACTAGGCAACGTTGAGCCAGCCAGCAATTCCTTGCCTAACCTCCCACAGAAGGTTATGGCTGTGTCAGTAAATACACACCCACCCAGGCTTCCCACTTGAACAGAGGGAACCATGTTTTTTTCTCTCTTCCCAAAAGGCAGATCCTGCCTCTTCAACACAAAAAGAAGTGGTGTAGCTGAACAGAACGTGGCTGCCTCATCTCCCATTAAGGGTTGCAGGCTGGAGTTGTGGGGAGAGAAAACCTAAGTATTACTACTACTACTGCCTCAGCTAGAGCCTTTTAACAGGATTGCACAGGAGAAGATCTGTGTGGGTCTCCGGAGTGTGCAAAGATCTACACCAAGTTGTTCCTGCTCATGTCTTTAAGCCTTGCTTAAGTACAGTATATACACACAGGTCTAATGCAGGGTTACATTAAAAGCCTACTAAATGAAGCGTTAAAGGGCATTATTTAAAACAAGTCTTCCCAAATGTGTTCTGCAGTACTAAGACACAACCAAAAATGCACACAGCATGTCAAGGAAGGGAAGAGAAAGCACAGAGAATCAGGAAAGACTTGAGCACACCAATTTCACCTGTTTAAATATGGGATAAGGTGGAGAGCTTCTCCTAGATTATGGAGCCAAATTTTGCTCGCCTTTTTCAAACACATAACGCTGTCTGATCAGGAACATTTTCAACATGAGGAGGAAATCAGAGAAGCCATGGGAGGTAGGGTTTTTTTAAGAGAAGGTGCCAAAAGAGCTGTAGCTAGAATAAGAACCTCACTCAAAGACTTGCTTACAGAATCCTTATTTATCTCAAGACATTTTTATTTTTGTCGCTATGTCTCCCACTCACATTTCTTTTGAGCAAATATACAGCATCTGCAAGTGTACCTATAAAAAAACCACAGTGTGGGCATTTATTACATTTAATTCTTTCAAAAAAAAAAGTAGCATCTGCTCAGCTCCACCCCCTCGCTCTTTTTTTAAGAAAGCAAGATTTTACAATTTGGGAAGAGAGAAAAATGGCTTTGCTGCCTCAGGATGGAGGCTTGTGAGAGTGTATTTTACTTACACGGCCTTCATAGTAAGGTCTCAGAAGGAGAACACGGGAAAGTGCTCTGGCTATTAAGAAAGTGCACCATCAGTGTATGTTCAGAAAATGTAACCTGCCTGCATCGTGATTGGCTTTTAAAAGCAGCCACACAGAATGTGAAGAAGTATGGAGGTGACAACCAAAATACTCATTTTTTAATTACACACAGTTTCTCTCTCCATTTGAAAGCAAAGGAAAACAGCTGCTTCCTGGGCAGAACCACTGAAAAGCCACTGAGTTTCTTCTAGTCAAAGCAAGTGAGACAGTAAAAGAAATAATTTTCCTGTCCAGGACACTGGCAGAAAAAGTTTGATGGGGCCTCACAGCCACCAAACAATGAACTCGATATTCTCATAAGGATGAGAAACTTAACTTGTTCACTGTGGACAACACTCTGAGTTTGTTAAACTCTGCTGCAGCCCTGAAATGCTTACATTTGGGGCCGATCCATGTTGACTGTGCTTACTAGTCAAAATGAAGTTCTTCTTCGACCTTTCCCAGGGAAGAAGAAATTGGATTCTTCTGACATCCCTTGCCAATTCAGCTTTATGTCATTTTTTTACACAAATGAGGAGGTGTAGGCAGGGTGTGTCCCCCCCCAGCAAGGAACACAACACAGACTTTGTGTGTTTGTGCAGCTTAAAAACCACACACACATGATAGCTAAACTACAGTGGAGACTTTCCCTGTCAGCTAATAGATAAAAAATCCTGGTTGCCTCTGAATATATGGACAACACCCTCCATTTTTAGTACGGGCAATGGCTCCACAAATGGAGGACCACGGTTTTAAATCCGTCTCTGGATAAGGTTCGGCACAAATGGAGATTGGTCTTCTTGATACTAACATTTACATATATGTACAAGACACTCTGTCCAATGAAGCACTGTTTAGGTTAAGATCTAGTTTGTAAGAACTAAGGAAACAGTTTAATATGGTTTAGATCTATGCCTTAAAACTGTAGCTTCTGTTTCTTTTGGGAAATTATGACACTGCTCGTAGGGGAGTGCTCTGTAAGAGTAGCAACCACCTGCGAAGAAAGATAAGGGACATATGGATGGTAGCATGAAACACTTGCTGAATCAGCATGGCCAAGAAAAGACTAGAACTGTCAATGATGTAGCCTATTCCAAAATACATGGTCACAGACTCAACGAGGGCTGTGGCTAACACTTGATTTTTGGCTTGCGAAACAAACACAGTTCCTAGAAGGAAACTGTAGTGAACATGGTTATGTCTCTGAAAACTCATAACCGGGCAGAGATATCTTCCATCCTAAAGACGCACTTCCAAAGGAGAGACGTGGTCTGTCCTTTCCTCACTTGCTGAGCACCGTTTTTCCTAAAGGGCCCACAAGAGAGGAAACTAGGCCTAACATCTGCCAAATCAGTGGACAACCACACGAAATGGAGCAAATCCAGATGGCGGACTGGAACCTCTGGATGCTTACCTAAGTCATCTAAAGATTATACTCTACCATAATCAGTGCTACTCTACCTGCACCATAGCTCTTTCAGAATAAATACAGAGATTTTTAAATTTTTCCCTCATCTGAAAGAGGATGATTCTCTTCTTAAAATTCTGGAAGTTTTCTATAAATGCTCAGCAGCACACCAATATTTCTTGGGCTCCACATGCCTGCCTTGACTACAAGACTGTCATGTTCATCCCAACATTTGTTTTTCACAGATTCTAAATGTCCTGCACCATTATATGCTGCTCTGGAGAAGAGCAATTCACTCAATCCCCTTGTTCCAAGTAATGTTTGCCTTCCATTTTGTTTCAGAGTGGAAAAAATGGCAAGGAACACCAATTCTATGTTTGCCCCCTCAGAAGTAAATATTGAGTAATACTGCGCCTGTTCCTAAGTATGGTCATATAAGAGTGATTTGTTTATGAACTAGCTTGTATCCTGGCCAGTGAGTAGAGACTACAATTTTAAAACTAGGTATAGAAAAGGTCAAGCAAGCAGGAGTTTGAGAACTACTATTGACTTTGGGACATTTCATTTAAGAGTCTTCCATTATCCCATCTTTCTTCTTAAAAAATACACATGCACACACAAAAGCATATATTATATTATATATTATACTCTTTGGCTCAAAAAGGTTTACCCATCCCAGCTAAAATCAGCTGAGACTCAGGAGTATGCCCTGAAAAGCCACCATCCCTCACTCAGCAACTGTCCTAGTTAGGCACCCAACACAAACTATTCTCTCCCCTCCATTCTTGAAAATACTGCTGTTAAACAACAAAGAGTCCTGGAACATATTAAAAACCTTTCTGTGTGGATCTCCATTTAATTTATTACATACCCGTAAATTTAAATTAACATAACAGTTTGGTCCAGACTTCAGTCATTTTCAGAGTAATGGAAAGTCAATGAACGATAACAATTTCTGATGGATAGTTGTGTTAATCTGTTGAGGTCAAAACTCAAGCTCTTCTGACACCTCAGAGCAGATGTTCTTGCACTAAAACTCCCAGAGGCCTTCACCACTAGCTGTGATGGCCAGGATTTCTGGGAGTTGTAGTCTGAAACCACCTGGGGACTCAAGGTTGGGAACCACTGCCTTAAAGACTTAACAAGTACAGCATGCACTTTTACAGAATATGTGGCGCATCATCAAAGGCAATTTACATATTTTTCCCCCCCACACAGAATGGTTTTATGCTAAAAAGTAGCTAACCAAATGTTTCCAAATATTCCTTTTGCTTAATTTCTAGAAAATACAACTATTTTTATGCACAAAAACTTTGAAACACTGACACGTGATGCACACACATTAACTCATGGTCAGAAACTTACACAACATACATACACAGGTTGCTTTTTAACCATAAAAGATTGTACAAACGTATTTCATGCAGCATCTATAAAACTAAGCAGTTTTTATTTTTTCATCAGTTTTCATGTGCCCAAGCATACTTTGCATAAATACATTGGCTATGTTGATTTTTCTGAAGAAGCGTGCGCTTAGACATGCGGAAGCTTATGAAAAATAAAAACTAGTTAAGTTTTACAGCTGCTACATAACTTCTGCTTTGCTACATCACAGTAACATAACTACCGGCTAGGCAAGTACTGCATATTTGGGTATGCACACGTATTATACATGTATGTGCTTATATAATATGTGTCAAATCGCATACACAACTCTTTATACAAGTGTATCAGCACAAATAAAGATGAATGAGTTTAAAAAAGGTTATAAAACTACACCTCTATACAGCTACATATTTTTAAAGTACTGTAGTCTATAAAGGTATTGCCTACTCTTGCATTTGTATTTTGAAAATGATCACACAACTCCCTGATACTGTTGTCATATGCTAGCTGTCATGTCACCTTTGATTTATGGCAACCCCATGAATGACCCATCCCCAAAATATCTTGTCCTCAACAATTGTAGACTGAAGTCTGTGGCTTCCTTTAGGGAGGTCAGTCCATCTCGTATTTAGCCTTCCTCTCTTCCTGTTGCCATCCACCTTTCCCAACATAGGATATCACATATGGGTGTGTATCAGAGTTACATATGGGTGCATGTAAATGTGGGCACACATCTGCTATTGTGTGAGTTTGAAACCTTAGTAAATATTGTGCGCGTGCGTCTGCACACATTCTGTGTCAGGGCTTCTAAGTGTTTTGTGGCTAAAAGTAGCTGTCTTTTCTGGAAATGAGACAAAAGATATCTTTGGAAACATCTGTCCATTTTTTTAGCATATAACCATTATGGGGGGGGTCTATATATTGCATTTGATGATGTGCAGCATAATGGATGAACTACTGGACGGATCAGTGATTTAAGTCTCTGGCTGCGGAGCCAGAGGTTGGGAGATAGATTCACACCCACACACACCAGGCCTCCTTGACAGGGGATGGACTGGATGATCCATAGGATCCCTTCCAGCTTTGCAGTTCTAAGATTATAGCACATACTATAATAAACATGCTACAAAAGGCACCCATGGACCCACAACAGCACTTTGGCCCTTGAGGCACAGCTTAATTTAGAGCAGTCCCTCCCAGACCTTGGTCCTCAGGTGTTCTTGGACTACAACACCCAGAAACCTTCATCACGAGCCTGTGCTGGGGCCAAGACTGCTGGGAGCTGTAGTCCAAGAAATTCTTGGGGACTCAAGGTGGGGGGAACCCCTGCTCCAAAGGCAAGTTTGGTTTATTCAGCTTATCCTCCAGACCATGGTTTGGAGGATCAGCTGAACCAATACAAGGATATAGTCCGGTGGTGTCAAGCAGTGGTTCTCCCCCCACCCCGGCTTCTTGGACTACAACAACCAGAATCCTCCACCGCCAGCTGCGCTGGGGCCTGGGCTACTGGGACTTGCATTCCAAGACCACCTGGGAGCCACTGTTTTAAACTCTGGGGTGGGTCTGGATGTGCCCACCCTGATGGGACTACCACCCCCAGAAGTCCTGGCCGCAGCCCAGCGAGGGGTTAAGCCTTCTGGGCCTTGTAGTCCCAGAACCCCTGGGGAGCCGGAGGATGGGGTTTAGATGCTTCTGGGTGTCCCCTACGCGGCGTGGGGCTCTTCCATGGGCCTCCCGACCCTCCTCTTCCTCACCTGGGCGTCGAGCTGTCCCCCCGGGGCGCCCACGGAAGGCAGTCCGGTTCCGACGCCGGGGGTCCCGGGGGTCCCCGGTGGGCCCGAGGCGGCCACGCCAGCGGTCCCGGAGCCTCCGCCGGGCGGCGTCTGGGTCTGGCTGGGCAAGGTGAAGTCGGTGAACTCGAACTCGGAGCCCTGCGTGTCGGCGCCCAGCAGCTCGGCCTCTTCGGTGTCCAGGAACGTCAGCGTCTGGGAGCTGGGCCCGTACGCCTCGACGCTCATGATGGCGGCGGGGACGGCCTGAGGGAGGAGGAGAAGAAGCGGCGGCGGCGGCAACGGCGGCGAGGCCTAGCGCGGTTTCTCTCACGGAAGCGGCCCGCGGGCAGTTAGGCCCCTCAGAGAGACAGCGAGGGGAGGGGGGAGACGGAGCGCGCGAGAACGGGCCGTCTGCGCCTGCGCGGCCCTCGAGGCCTCAACCGCCGTCCGCCGGGCGCGAACGCGCCAGCCAATCAGCGCCCGGCCTCAGCTCCGCGCGGGTGGCGCGAGGCAGAGGAAAGGAAAAGTGGGGGGGGGGGGGAAAGAGAGCGCGGCCCAGAGAGCCGCTGCGGTGGAGTGGCGTGGGAGACGGAAAGAATAAGTTCCCTAGTGCGCAGGCGCCGGAAGGAGGAGGAGGAGGAGCGGGGAGTGTCGCGCAGCCGCAGAGGGAAGAAGAAGAAGAGGGATTAAGGAAAGCGGCTCGAGGGAGAAAGAATAAGAGGGTGAGGTGTCAATCAGATGTTGACGCTAAGGGAGAAGAGGCGGGACGTAGGCGTCGGCCTTGGCCAATCAGGGCAGAGCACGCGGGGAACTGACGCGACTCGAGCGCGGGCCGAGGGAGGCGGGTGGCAACGCCGCAACGCAGCCAATCAGAAGCGAGTGATAGTGACGGATGGGAACGGAACGTTCCCGAAGAGCCAATGAGGAGGACGGAGGCCCTGACGGAGGGGTGGAGGGGAGATGCGAGTCCCGCCTTTCCCTTCAGGGACGAAAATGGGGTATTCCTTCCCCCCCTTCACCGAGGAGGCGAGCCGTCGACGTTCGACGCCGCCCAGAGGCGGATAATGTTATAGGTCGCGAAAGGGAAGGGAACGGAGCGCGCCGCGGAGGGAACGTAACATGACGTACGCCGGCCCAGGTAGGCGGGCCGGCCCGTGAGGGAAAAACCGGGTGACAGCAATGCGCATGCGCGAGGCCCCATCGGGCCGGGAACTCCGGAGAGAAAGCATCCGTGAGACCACGCCCCGTGTTCGCAGTCGGGGGCGGGGTCAAGCACTGGCCGGGCTTCTGATTGGCTAGAGGGTTTTCAGGACTCAGGAAAGTTATGAATGGGATCGCTGGCGTATTTTGAGGGGGCACTTTCAGGGATTAAGCATCCGTACTGGACTGTGGGAGGGGGGATAGGAGGGAGTATCAAATCATTAGGAAAATGGGGGAAACAATATGATCAAGATCTTGTCAATTATGTTATATAAGAAATATGTACTATATAAATATAGTGCTTTATACGTGTATTGTAGTAAACTATTTTATTATTTTATTATAATTATTTTATTCTGTACAGACAGATATAGATTTACTTATTTATTCATTCATTTGATTTATAGCTCACTCCTATTAGTGCTAAGGTAGTGAGAAAGATCTATAGATTTATAATTATAATTAGATGCACACACACACACACAAACACACAAAAGCAGGTGGCAAATGTTACTGTGTCTAATCTACAGTAGGGCCTCCCACATCCACGGGGGATCGGTTCCAGCCCTCCTGCGGATGCTGAGAAACTTGGATGATAGCAAGCATGATTTTAATAGGAAACACTGAACGTCGCATAGTCTCTGGCTCCCTCTCGTGGCCAGTTCTGGTAGCTTCATCTTTAGAAAAATAATACATACAGTATACAGTACTATACAGCAGTGGTCCCCAATCTTGGGGCTCCAGATGTTCTTGGACTTCAACTCCCAGAAATCCTGGTCAGCAGAGGTGGTGGTAAAGGCTTCTGGGAGTTATATATATTTAGGATTTTTCTTTTAGGATTTTTAATATTTTCAGACTATGGATAAGTGAATCAGCAGATACCGATCCATATGGATAGGGGGGGGTTCTTTGGAAATACACCGTGTTCATCCTATCCCATTACAATTATGCCATGGTATGTTGTTGTTTCAAAACAGTCTTCAAGGGCAGCCTCACAGATGGCAGTAGCCCAGTAGTTCCCTATCTTTTTTCACTTGTGTTCCCCTTGGCAGCCCATTTCCTATAAATTCTACCCTCCATATCATCATCCCGCCTAGTCATCCCGCCACTACATCATCACCTCTGGTGTAGTGTGCACAAGCATGCCAGCAGAGAAGTTAAAATCTCTGCTGTACCTCCTTAACAAGCACTGGGCTGGATGATCTCAAGAGTCCCTTCCAGCTCTGCCGTTTTAAGGTTATTATTATGTGGCAAGGAATGCCATCTCGGCTGGACTTCATGTTAGTTGTTTTTACCCAGTTGTGCTTCATCCTTCCTCCACTAGAGGGAGGTAAAAGTTCTCTTTTTCTGTGATTTGAGTGAAATAGCGACAGTTGCGTGAGAAAGCATGTTTTCTTACATTTTTGACCAGTGCTTTCCAAAATTTGTGAATTCTTTCATAAGTATGATACAAGGAACTTGACATTTTTTTAAAAAGGTTGAGAGGAGAGAATGAAGTTGAGAAGTTCAGATGCAGAACTTTGAGCGCTTATAGGACTAACCACTAGTTCAGTTGTTTAGTTCTCTAGCTGTGGAGCCAGAGGTTGGGAGTTCAATTCCCCCCACTGGGCCTCCTTGACGGGCTGGACTGGATGATCTATATCAGTGGTTCTTAACCTTTGTGACTCGGATGTTTTTGAACTGCAACTCCCAGAAACCCCAGCCAGCACAGCTGGTGGTAAAGGCTTCTGGGAGTTGCAGTCCAAAACTCCTGAAGTAACAAAGGTTAAGAACCTAGGATATATATGGTCTTTTCCAAATTTCAAGAAAGGCGATTCTGAAAAATGTAAGGAAGAATTTCATGAGTGGGAGAGCCATTTGACCTGTGAAACACACAGCCTTCCTTTCAATCCTTCCTGATTTATGGCGATCCCATAAATGAGCAATCTCCTAAATGTCCGGTCCTCCACAGCCTGGCTCAGCTCTTGCAAACTCAAGCCTGTTGCTTCCTTTAGGGAGTCACTCCATCTCATGTTTGGCCTTCCTCTTTTCCTGCGGCCTTCCTCTTTTCCCAGCCTTATTGTCTTTTCCAGAGAATCCTGCCTTCTCAGGGTGTGCCCAAATTCTGTTTCAACATTTTAGCCTCCAGAGAGCATCCAAAATGCGTCTGCATTTTAAAAGCAGAATAAAGATGGATGTGACACTGTCTTTGTGCAGGAAATCATATTCTAAAATCGGAGAACGACAGAGCAAATAGCATGAATGGAAAAAGCTTAAGATTTGGCTCGGCCATCTCTCATCATGGCCTCAGTTCGAGAGATGGTGTTAAAAACCCAAATCCTCCAGTATCTGGTGATCATGTGCCTCTAAGTTGGAGCAAGCTAGTATTTTAGTAAGACCCAGGCCTGAGATTCCTGTTCAGATTGTTTGGTCAAGCCACGGAGATCCATAGTAGCTCTGGGAGTCTGCATGTGGTCTGTGGCTTGCCCTTTGCCCTTTTTTGGGGGGGGCTGGGAAAATTCAAACCCTTCCTACTCATGGGCCACGGGTAAAGGCCATCTGGCTCAGCCAGGAAAGCAGGGAAGAGCAGATGGGACCGTGTTAATTGCTTGCCAAAAACTCCTGCTGTTTCGACCAGCAAGATCTTTGTCTGCAAAAAGTCATTCTTGAACCATACCAATATTTTCCCCCTCCTCACACGACTGCAGAAGGATGCCGCAACATCAGCCACACAAATGCAAAAGACATTGTGGGTACATTCCATCTTTTCCACTTCAATAGATTTTTTTTTAACCCTGGTGATGAAAATGTCACAACAAGCAGTGCAGAAACACCTCCCCCCCACACACACACATTGAGGAGGATTATAAATGGAAGATGAAGACATTGATTGGCCCCCTCCCCAATTAAATTCCAGGCAGGGAAATCGCAGGAAGGATCAGAAATCAGAATGAGAGACTAAGTCTTGGGATGTAAAAAAATGTAAATAATCTTTATTCTGATTTAAAATGTTCTACATGTTTTGGCACCCAGCCTTCTTCAGAAGCTAGCTATAAAAACAACCATAACTGTCTATAACTTATGTTCATTTTTGTATTCATACAGACAGTATTATAGCAATGAATAAGTTTTTCCCTTTGAATTCTTCTTTATGGACAGCCATGGTTGTCTTGAGTCTGTGGTTTACAAAAAAATTTATTTCTGTTTTTATACCTAGCTCCTGAAGAAGGCTATATGCCAAAACACGTTGAGCATTTTAAAAGTAGAATAAAGACTATTTACATTTTCCCTCCTGCATCTTGAGACTTGGTCTTGCATTCTAACTTCTGATACCAATGGATGGATCAATTCCTTGCACTTCTGAGATCTCAGGAAGTCTTGCCATACCTCCCTCAATAGGCCTTTGACACTCTGCATTAGAGAGTTTGCAAGTTGGGTGGAAAATGGCCACAAACCAGGTCTGGAAAAGAAGTACACAGAAAAAAGGACAGGACGACGCCATGGCCAACGGCTGGAATCCATAAGAACCAAATGGAGGGGTGAGGTCTACGTCGGAGAAAGGCGCTAGTGTCGAAGCCCCGGTAATGGAAGGGAAAAGCAGGGATCCAGCGGTGGTGGTGGACCTGGAGGAACAGAAAGTTAAGCTGGACTGTCTCTGGCTTCAGACAGCCCGGATGGAGGCACAAAGACAGCTTTTGTGCCTGCTCTCTCCTTCGGCTGCCGACGATCAACAGAGAAGTTTGGCCAAAGAGGAAAACGAGACCTTTATGGAAGTCGAGAATCTGCAGAACCCATCCATCTGTGCTAAATTAATTTGTCCTCACCAGAAAAAACAGAGGAGCCCGCAGCGAAAGCTTTCAGAGCCAGCCACGAAGCCGAGAGCGCATGCAGATGAATAAGTGGAGAATCCTTGAAACTGTGGGAGAAAAACGGAGACTATCTCAGACTGGCAGCAACCAGATGGGTTTCTTGAGATCAAGCCCCGCTGGGAATTTTCTTATTTGTGGCGTGGAGAACTTTTTGCATTTTTATGGAGCTCATCTTCCATGGAACTTGGGACCACCTTCATTCAGAGCCCCCCCCCAAATGTGTTTTTGCTGCCCCAGAATTCTAGAATCATGGAGTTGGAATGGGGTTCCCATAAGGCCATCTAGTCCCACCCCCTGCTCAAGGCAGGGACACAAATCCAAGCCGATCCGACAGGGTGGTCCCGTTTTCTCCAGCGTGGGAGTGCTCACTGCCCCCCTGAGTCATAGGGTCCCCTCGTCGTATTGCTGTAACAGTTAAGAAGTTTTTCCTGATACAGTATTCGTCCAAAATCTGGCTTCCTGTCACTTGAGCCCATGATGACTTGCCCAGCCCTCTGGGAGGATCGAGGACAGATCCTGCCCCTTCTCTGTAGGGAGATTTCAGGGATTTGAAAAGTGCTTGCCTACCTCCTCTCCATCTTCTTTCCTTGAGGCTAAACCTGCCCAATTTTTTCAATCTTTCCTTCTCATAGGGCTTGGTTTCCAGTTCCCTTATCGTCCTTGTTGCAGAATCTAGGGGGAATCAGCTCCCCCCCCATTCTAGGAGCCTTTGAAGCAGGCTGTTTTCGGGGGGGGGTGTTGTTTTTGGTTTGAGAGTGTTGATGATTTATTGATTTACTGATTGGTGCAACTTGCACCTTGCCCACGTAGTGGCAAGCCACCACAAAGGAAATAAACACGAGCCCTCCAAAAGACAAAGATGAAAAACAATAAACAAAAAAGAAAAACAAATC